AAACGAAAAGTTTTCTTGTTAATTAATGTGCGCTTTGTTTGAAGCTAACATAACTTTTGTTAAAAGCATAAAAATAACTTATTAATTGCCAAGTTGTTGTTGTTGTTCGACAAAATCAATTTAAATTTAGCAGGAAGCTGATCGAAAAAGCAAACAGTTAACGTAAGACAAAAGGCCACAGCAGACGTCGCAGCAGAAGGTCACAGAGAGAGACAGAGAGAGAGATAGAGAGGGAGAGAGTCCTTTTTATATGTTCGTGAAGGGACCTTTAACTTTTCCAGCAAATGTGCAAGAGAAGGAGATGTCACAGGTATATGTATAGAGTATATGTATTCTTTATCAGTATTGATAGTCGAGGCATTATAGCCAAGTCCAACTTTCTGTCTAATTGTTTATTTATAAGCGAGTCAGTAAATTTTGCATAGTTCCATCTTATATTTGCATATGCTGAAATCAACCGAATCGAAGCTCTCTATCGTATATCATATATGATTAGTCAAAAATGAAGTTCTTGATTAAAAAACCTTCTTGTTCAAGCAGCATGCTTACATATGAACAATATTTTATCAATATATTTTTTATATCTTTATAGAAAGAATTGTTCGAAATATATCTTATTTTTTGAAAATCAGTCTAGATGTCTTACATATGAGCAATATCTAATCAATTTTGGATGATTTATATCCTATAAAATGCATAAGAATCGGTTGACAAAAAGTTTATCTTGTTATCTGTTATATATCTGCGCCTATAGCAAGAATCGATAGCAAATTAAGAGTTTGTATAGGAACATTTCTAAGCTACATGTCTAGCAGGGTATTAAATATTCGGCGTGCCGCATCTAACGCTTCTTGTTTTTACTTTTTTCGTGCTGCTTAGTTTTGTGTTTACGTAGCTTTTTTGAGCCAGGTTTTGGTTGGGGTTGTTGTGGCCTCTGCGGACTTGTTTGTTTATCTGCATGTGCAACAACAACAGCTACAACAACAACAACAACAATAACAAACCCAACAACAAATACATGAACAAGTCAACAGGCCGTGTGCCAATAGCGCCACAAAAAAGCGCAGCATTTGCGCTCGACAATTTTGCCATGCGCATAATTGTGGTTGGACATTTTGGTTAGCGCATGTTAATTGCAGCACCTCTTATGCCGCTCCAACAAACGCCCCTCACACCCCCCTCCCCCTACACCAGCCCTTTAGCCAACACTTGCCGGACTCGGCCCCTTTGCATTGTATTGACATTTGCGTCTAAACGTTTTTCCACACGTTTTCCCGCTGCGCGACCGGCACGTTTTCAGCGTACATTTTTTATATATTTTTTGGTTTGTTTGCAGGCTTTGCCACGCCTACGCGCGCGCGCCTAATTTCATTAGGCAAACAAATTGTGCAGGTTTCACTTTTTACATGCTCTAGTCAGGTGTGTGTATGTGTGTGTGTGTGCGCTCCAACGAGCAGCTCCACTTGCTGGCAAATGAGTTGGTTCTCGGCAACATGAATATTATTAATTAAAATCGTGCAATGCATGAAAAGGTTTGTTTGCTTCCCATCTGAAGCACTTGTATTGACTGCCTTTGCCATTGCCTGACTGAGAGTGTGTGCGTGTGTTTGTATTTGTATTTGTGTTTGCTTTAGATAATGTTTGCCCTTTATTAGAAACGTGTACCTGGCTTACAGCCCTCTCTCTCTCTTGCTTTGTAAATGAAAGGCAATGCCTGAACATTTTTCTCGAACTTTAATATGCTATATATGCTATATAGTCTGCAATGGTATGTGTGTGCTGGTCAGAAGCCTGAAGCACACTACACAAAACTCAAAGGGGCATATTGTTTTACTAGATATTCAGTTGTTTTTTGTGCCTGCCGAAAAGATATAAGGAACAGAGGTTGCTTATATAAAAAGTTAATTATGTTTGTAAATTGGGCAACATTCATTTTTATAAATAAATATATATATTTTTTTATATAGAGTAAACCCATTAATATATTATAAATCAATTATATATTATTCTATATATATATTAAGTGAAATATATATATATTAATTTAATAATTAATTGATATATAACATATATTATGTACTGACACTTCATTTGAATTTCCCATTTATTTGCATTATGGAAAATATTTTATTATACATTTTATATCAATCATATATTTAACAATATCTTTTAATTCCCTTACTGTGGCTCATAACGAAGTCGAGCATGCCTCGACTTGTCTCTTATTTGTAATTTCTGTTTGTGTCTTTTTGTTGCCTTTTTGCGCTTCACACGCTTTGGCTCAATTGGGTTTCGACCTGTACAGGTTGCCATTTTTTGTACGTTTTATTTTTGCATGATTTCTGGTTGCTGCTGTTTTTGTGCTTTTGTGCTCTTTGGGAAATTAATTGGATTGCGCGCGCTTTAATTGCCAGGCAGGGAGCTTGCCAACGGCTGACAAATTATTAATACGATTTTGCAGGACACAATCTTAACAAGAGCTGAAGCTTTAAGGCTTGTTAAAAAAAAAAACAGGCTGTACAAAATTGAGTGCCTTGCGTGTAAAAGATGTGCAAACAAATAAATGTTGAAAACCCAGTGAAGAGTAAATATAAAATATGCACAAAAAAGAGCTAGCATAATAATTCTGCGGAATTCGTGTCGTCGTCTTATCAGAACGTACCTTTTTCCTTTTATTATTCCTTTTATGGCTGACAGCATTTGCGGCAAGAGTGTTATTTTTTTTTTTTTTTTGAATAAATATTATTCGAGTGTAGGCACCTGTCGCAGGCTTTACATTTCGGATGCGTTGCGTGGCAACCTTTTTTCGCTTTCAATTCGAATGATAAGTAGAACGCTTTAAAAGAAGAAAAAAATCGGTTTGTGTGTCAAACATGCTAAACAGCTGTAAGCTAATTGCCGCTCGTAAAAGATGACAATAGCAAGCGCGTTATAAATTGGACATTTAAATGTGGCAATCAGTCGCTCACGTGTGCCACAAAAAGGGACAACAAGGCAGGATTTGAGGCAGCCCTCGAGGGCTTTTAACTGGCAGCTTAACGAGCAACTCTCTCCCTCTCTCTCTCTCTCCCTCTCCCTCTCTCTCTCTCTCTCTCTCCCTCTCTGTCTCTCTCTCCCTCTCTCTCTCTCTCTCTCCCTCTCTCTCTCTCTCTCTCTCGCTCTCTCTTTCTCTCTCTCTCTTGTCTCTCTTTTGTGGCCGCAATTTGTTTTGCGGCAGGACACTTTGCAATTTTAGTTGACTAGCCTGACCAACCCAACCCGACCCGACCCGACCCGGCCGCCTGCTTGGCCTTGAGCTGGGTTACGATTTCGGCTGTCTTGTCTCTTTATGAAGCGCCAAGAGGCTTAATAGTTTTTTCTCTCTACTGTCGCACGCCCATAATTAGCCATTTGCTGTGATACTGAATGGCATTTTTAATGGCACTTTTGCCGCGTGCCCCAGTTGCCGCCTGCCCTGCCCCTTGAGGTATGCAACGTTGCTTGCCACCTGTCGCCACTTAATTGAATTGAAAACTCAGCTCGCACGTAATTTGCTTTTGGAAATTTTCATTACGCAGCGTCATGCTCCAACGCCCCCGCCCGCCCTCTCACACACACACACACACAGACTCAGCTGCACGACACGCTTCCGCTGGCAGAAGGCTTTGCCAAAGTAGCTCTGGCCAAATATTTGCTTTACGGTTTTTGCAGTCGTAACTCCAGGAGTGGCAGCGTCAACTGTAGCCAGAACTTTGTTAGCTGTTTTGGCGTTTTACACTCTGTTTGTCTGGGCACAAGTTAGTTCCGAGTGCGAGCAAAAAAAAAAAAAGAGACGAGAAATGGCCAAAAACAAAAATAAGTGAAAACTTGTTTAATTGCAAACAGCTGGTAAAAGTTTTCACTCGCAATGCAGTAAACGCTTCAGCTGCCACTAACTTGGCTAACACACACACACACACACACACACTTGCACACGCACAGCCTGGCCGTCTGTTTTGGCTGTCACAACATTGGCCTTGCGCCACGATGTTGCATTTCATTTGGGTTTATGTTTTAGCCCTTCATATAAAGTTGTCTTTTATAGCTACAATTTCAAGCGGGCTGCGTTTCATCATAAAACTGACAAAAAAAAACTAGAAGGAACGTCTATTTAATATGTCGCAGATTAAATACCCTTGTAGACCATTGCTTAATTATTTGTTAAATATTTTTGGAGTATAGTGCAGTTCGGATTTTGCCGATTTTTGTTCAAGCATTGGGCACAATTTATTAAATTAAGCGTTAAGTTTGTGTATGCAATCAAATTAGAATATGAGTATAATTGTAGAAAAAACCAACGATTAGAACCGATTGCTGAAACAAGTTATGCGAATTGGAACAAAGATCAGAAAGATATGAAATCTTTAAAAACAAAAAGGGGCTTTATGCAAAAATATTCCAACGATAATTTCTGTGGCAAATATATGATATAGTTGCCCGATCCCGACCTACAACAGAGTGAATTTTATATGAGCATAGTTTTAAAACTGAGAGACTGTTTCTAGAAGAAGGTAGACGAGCAGACAGGTAACACCTCGGCTGCTTACTCTAAGCAATACTATATAAACCTCCATTCTAAGCGTTACATATTTAATAAAAATTCTTATAATACGCTATGTAAGGATATAGAAAGAATGCACAAACATTTCGAAACACACCGTCACACGTTAACTGGCGCTGGCAGCCACAATTTACGATAAGGTTGCGTATATGTTACTCACCTGCAAATTGCGTATACGCAGAGTTCTCTGTCTGTGTGCTTGTGTGTGTGTGTGTGCGTGTGTCAGGAGAACAGTTTGCTTTTGATGTAAAGAGGCACTCGAGGCAATTTTGCGCTCTTATCCCAATCAACGTGCAATAATAGAGCGGGCCAAAACGAACCGCAACGGACACACACACACACACACACACAAACTCAAACACACACAATCCCCACCTACTATTATTGTACGACTTTTGTTTTTGCTTAACGTTGTCTCTAGAGCGACCATCAGACACATCAGCAACAGGGCCAGCAACAGCAGCAGCAACAACAACAACAGCAGCAGCAACGCCAGCTTCAAACTTCGCAACAACAACAACAACAACGAGGGGATGGGATATCCAGCGACACGTTGTCCTCATTACCACAAGCATCGTTCAACTACATCAACTCCATCGTGGGCAGCGGCGTCATTGGCATACCCTATGCCCTGCACCGCGCCGGCTTCGGTCTGGGCCTGGCGCTGCTCATCCTGGTCGCCTACATAACCGACTATTCGCTCATACTGATGGTGAGTAGCCAGCTGGCCGGGACAGCTGGCCGGGACAGGTCTGGCCGTGAGAAGTGGCAAATGATTTGCTCGAAACGGAAACGGAAACGGAAATTAGATGCGTGTCTCGTTAACAGCGCGCTGCAAATTAAACGCATTTCCGCTACGAAAAATATCAGAAATTTGCATAAATTACGAAAGCCACAGACGAACAGAGAGGGGAAGAGGAAGAGGTAGATTGCTAATAACTTCGATTTATTATTGCAGGTTCGATGCGGCCACATCTGCGGCCGATTCAGCTACCCGGGCATCATGGAGGCTGCCTACGGCAAATACGGCTACTATTTGCTATCGCTGCTGCAGTTCATGTATCCTTTTCTGGGTAAGTTGGCCGCCAATCGCTAAATCCCATCAATGTGTGCCCACAATTTTTGGCTACACACACACATCCCCATCTCCAATCCCATCCCGCACACGTAATTAACAAAGTTTTGCCATTTTACAGCCATGATATCGTACAATGTTGTCGTTGGCGATACCTTGTCTAAAGTTCTGGTACGCTTCTTTCCCTCGTGGGGCGATTCCATGGGCGCGGTTCGATTGGGCGTCGTCTTCTTTGTCACCGTCGGCGTTGTCGTCCCACTGTGCCTCTATAAGAACGTCTCCCGTCTGGCGCGCGCCAGTTTCATTAGCCTGGCTTGCGTGGTCTTCATATTGTTTGCCGTCATCATAAAGCTCATTTCCGGCGATTATAAAGTGTGAGTATATAAATATATCTGTGCATAAGATATCACAGTCAGCGCAAAAGTTTGGCGTTTGGCTAGGGGATATTTAATTTGTGACAGTAAACGGTTACAAATTAGATTTCTTGAGGCTGTTATAAAAATGTTTCCGTTTAGTTGAATAGAAAATTCCTCTTATTGCTCTTTTAAGAGTTCAAACTTATTTGAACTTCTGAAAACTGAAAAGCCTTCGGATCTTTGATCTGATTCTAGCCAAAAGCAAAAAAGCATATATTATCCATATAACCCCTTCCCACTCCTTGGTTTCCAGTTGACTCCAATATCCTTGGTAATGCCATACCACAGATATAGTCCTGGTGAACCTAAATGACCAAAATGGTCAAAAAATATGAATGCTTTTTCTTTCAGCCGCCCTCACTAGGAGGCCCATACACCTCGATGGTACCTAGTCGACCCACATGTATCCTTGGTCATACCATACCGTTGATATAGTCCTGGTGAACCTAAACGACCAAATCCCTGCAAAATGCGCACAAACATTTTCAGAAATATGTACAATGTACACTGCATTTTAGATCATTGTGGGTCATGTCTTAGAATGTGGATGTGGATTTGGATTTGGGATTCGGCAATCGATGGTCGGGATCCGTATGAGAAGAATGAAGACTGAATTCAGCCAAGTTATTTGCATTTTAATGTTTAGTCAAATTTTGCTGCAACTCCGCTGTTGATCATGGCGAGATTATGTCGTTTTGAAACGACATATCTCCGCGCGGACGTGTGAAGATAATTCAATTCATTTTGGGTCATCTCTTAGAATGCCGATTTTTGGATGGTAATCCATAGTCGGGATCCGTACGAGTAGAGAGAGGTATATCATTCCAAAATCGGGTTGTATTTAGCCGAGTTATTTGCATTTTAATATTTAATCAATTTTTCTGCAGGGTGTAAATTGTGAATGGTTTATTTTTATGCGCGGCCCAAAAGTATGCTTTAGAAAAGCTACTCTAATAGGATCAAGCGAAGCGAAGTTATGTCGTTTTGAAGCGACATAGCTCCGCCGCTCTAAAAACTTCACACGTCCGCCTGGAGATATGTCGTTTCAAAACGACAGAATCTCCGCCGCTCTAAAAACTTCACACGTCCGCCTGGAGATATGTCGTTTCAAAACGACATAATCTCCGCCGCTATAAAAACTTCATACGTCCGCCTGGAGATATGACGTTACAAAAAGACATATCTCCGCGCGGACATATGCATTTTTAGAGCGGCGGAGCTATGTCGCTTCGAAACAACATAACTCCGCCGTTGATCATGGCGAGATTATGTCGTTCTGCATTTGTTCTGATTTTGGGTCATCTCTAAGTGGGTGGCAATCGATTGTCGGGATCCGTACGAGTAGAAAGAGTCTTAGGATTCCGAAATCGGGCTGTATTTAGCCGAGTTATTTGCATTTTAATATTTAGTCAAATTTTGCTGCAAGGTGTTATTGTGAATGGTTTATTTTTATGCGCGGCCCAAAAGTATGCTTTAGAAAAGCTACTCTAATAGGCTCAAGGGAATTATGTGAACAGCTCGAAAGTATGCAATGCTTTGCTTTACTTCTATGTTTATGTTTTACAAAAACTTATCTCTGCCAATAAAGCCCGATGGTGGGATAGAATAGAATTTTTTTTTTTATGAAAGCTTTATTTTAATTTTTCTGTTATGAGGAAACAACTTAAATTAAATTTATATGAATATTTACAAACTACTTATTCTACTGGTAAGTAAAATAGTATAGAATAGAAAATAATGTTGTATATGAGTAGTATATATGTATATATGAAGTATAGAATAGAATGGCGAATTTGGTATTTGTTTTTTTATTTTTTAAAATAAATATTTTCGAATTTACGTTAGAATCAAAGGGGCCCACAGCTTCCAGATTGCGGGTCATCAGCGGGCAGGAAAGCTCTTGTAATTACGTGTTGTTTTCCAATCTGTAAATGAATTCAAAAAAAAGTAAATGAATATAGGTAAAATATAATTCGTTCGGCTTGTGAATGTTGCTGAGCTGGCGCAGAAAAAGGTGTTTGCCTTCTTTTCTTTTCAGGTAATTTGTTAAAATTATCAAAAATGTATTTTTCTTAATTGTCAACGCTGTCTAATAACGAGAACAGATTTATTTGCATTTTAATTACGATTTGTTGGGGCTGCAAATTTATGAGCGCAGTCCTTGGCGGGCGGCTAAGTGCTGTGGTTGTTGTCCCTGCCACATCTACAGCTTCATCACTTACTTTTTTATCTTCTGCTGCTTTTGAGGTTGAGTCCTGCTCGCTTTAGTGCTAAGTGGCGCTTTAGTGCCTTCGAATCTGCGGCGACTTTCACCGAACCCGGCGGCATTGAACTGCGCGCAATGCCATAAAATGTAGTGTGCCACTTGTTTGGCTTTTATGGCTTTTCATTAGTTTGCCGCAGTGGCTGTTGCACACAGCAGACGCCGTCTCGCTCGCGCACTTTGTTCCGCTTCCTATCTGTGTTTGTGGCAACTGCGAGGGCGAGTCGTTAGCAGTTGCCACAGTGTTGCCAACGGCGACGATGTCGACTCGAGCTGCCAGCCAAACACCCGCTCCCACGGCTGCTGTTGCTGCTGCTCCTGCTGCGTATTTCATGGTCAACGTGTGCTCGAGCTTTGTGCGGCGATTCCTACTTGTTGTAGCGGGGCATAAAATTTAAATAAATTTCCAATTTGTGTACTTTTGTGCCGCGTCTCACATTGTTGTTGGTTGTCCGCAGCCCCTTTTATCTTGGCCACATAATGCTTGCCGTTCGTGAAACATATAAACCTCAACTTGGTTCATTTCTTTTTTGTGGCCATATTTTACATTTCTGAAAAGGCAAAAGAAAAGGGAAATGTTAATTTGGTGTTAACTTTGTGTAATTTATTTATATTTTGTTTTTTTTTTTTTTTTCTGTTGCTACCTACGTAAATCTATCCCTTTTGCCTGTTGCTGCCCGTAGCACGGACACGGCTGACTCTTGGCGGTTCGCGAACTCGGATCTAATACCCGCCACGGGCATTATGGTGTTTGGTAAGTAAGCGCCGCATTATGTGTATAATATATGTGTTTACTTATGCAACAGCAGGCACTTCGGCAAGGATAACAGCTAGATGATTGCCAGACACCTAGACAAAAGAAAGAAAGAAAGAAAAACAATTTAATTGCATTTGCCGCTCAATGTCAATTCTAATGCTCACTCACTCTCTCTCTTTCTTTTTTTGCCGTCTCTTTCTGCACTTGGCACAGCTTTCATGTGTCATCACAACACGTTTCTCGTTTATCAATCGATGCGCGAAGCGACCATGGAACGCTGGGAGAAGGTCACCCACATCTCGATTGGATTTGCCTGGACTGTGGCGGCGCTCTTCGGCATTGCGGGCTACTCGACATTCCGCGCCCTCTCGCAGGGTAAACTAATTGACAATTTCGCTCGCATTTAATGGCATTTTCCGGTTACTTCTATTTTGTTTTACAACGCTGTAAATCAGCTTTAATCTGTAGCATTCTTTGCTTTTGGCTGTGCTTTCTGTTTCTCCATGCTCATGTCTGTGCCCATTTCATTGCAGGCGATTTGCTGGAGAACTATTGCTGGGACGATGACTTAATGAATTTCTCGCGTGTGCTCTTCTCTATATCCATATTGCTGACATTTCCCATCGAATGCTTCGTTTCACGTGAGGTATGTCGGGCATTTCGCCTCCTTAATACCCTTTATTTCATTGTTTCCAGCCAATTGAAGCTACCAAAGACCAAGCTTGTTTCTGCAATAATAAAATAATAATTAAAATAAAATAAATATTTGTTAAATATAAATGAATTGAATTTTTGTAATACAAACTTAAACATATCTTAATCCATTTCACATAAGACACAACATTCAATGGCTGCATTTGAAGCGCCCCATTCGTATCCTTGAGATACTTAGTTTGTTTAATGCTTGGCACTTTATTTTGACCAGCTGCTGCTGTCCACTTGCAGTCATTTTGGTGAAGCTGCTGCCACACATACATTACTTACATTTCGGTTCGTGCTACACAGTTGCATTTTGATAAACTAGCTGTGTTTTCTTTATTTTCATTTTCATTTTTGCTGCAACATTGTTGTAGATTGTGCGCGCGCTGGTGCATCGGTTTGTGCTGAAGGAGCCCATCAGCGAGTTTACCCAGGACAAGGATCCCAGCTTGGAGAAGGGCGCCGAAATCGATGAGTATTCGAAGGCGATTACCTTGGCCATTGTGTTCAGCGCCTTCATAATATCGCCCATGACCGACTGCCTGGGCTCCGTCTTGGAATTAAATGTGGGTTGATTTTGATACCGATTTGTTCACAGCACACACACACATATACACACACACTCGGCCATAACAAATAACAACTGGCTGGAGCATTGTAATTTCATGTAAATTTTCTCAACAACTTAGGGCCTGCTGGCAGCCATACCCCTGGCCTATATACTGCCCGGCCTGGCCTACATACAAATGGAACCGCATGCCCTCTTCAGCCGGGAGAAGCTGCCCGCCTTGGGCCTGGTCGTATTTGGCGCTGTGGTTACCATACTGGGCGCTGCGGTCCTCCTGCCAGGTCTAATGGGCGACGATTGCCGTTCGGATATTGTGATGGGCTATTGCCGGCAGGAGTTCCAGAATGCCACAACCACCGCACAGGTGGTCCTCAACTGAGGAGGCAGCAGCAAAAAGAGGCGGCGGCAGCAGCCAAGCCAAAAGTCATTAGTTAAGTCATAAGCATTGGCAATACATTTGCATTGATGTGGGTTTTACGGGTTGTGGATTCTAGATTGCAGATTACGGATTGCGGATTGCGGTTGGGGTTTACATTTTATTTATTCATTTATTTCTTTTGCTGGTCTTAGCTTTTGTACTCCTGCAGATTTGTATTAATGTGATTTTATGGCAGAGTACGTTAAGTATTTATATTCATATACTATTCTACTTATAAGTCTGTCCGTAGATCAAAGGTTGTTTATCCTTGAGAAACATTTTTTTATATATATACATTTCCATATCTATACAAAACTCAACTAAGTTTATGTTTTATCAAGCTTTAGACTTTGTTGTCCACGCAGCCGTCAATTTTATATTAATTATTTGATTACATTATATTCTATTTATATTCTGTATCATATGATAGGATATAGAAGATATATCATATAAGCACGATATCTTAAAGCTTCCATGGAAATGTATAATAATCCACACACAAAGTATTATTTGTAAACTTGGTCTATAAAGTTTACTAAATCATATTTGGTTTTGAGTTCAGATTAATAATACTAAAAATCAAAAATATATATCTGCAAGGGTATTAAGAGCTTCGGCCAGCCGAACTTAGTTGCCCTTACTTGTATTTACTTTTGCTTTTATTATGATTATTTATTTATTTCTTTGTTGTAGCTGCACCATTTTTGGTTAAGGGGCAAAACGAATACTTGTACCTGAGTCTCTGATGTTCAAAGTATCTCGAAACTGTGTTGTAGTATCTGTGTGTGTATACGTGTGTGTGTGTGTGTGTGTGTCTTGTTAGCTAACTGCGAGGCAAGTGATACGAAGGATTTGAGAAAAAAAACAGAAACCTGAATCTCAGTACAAAACAGCAAGTTGTTATAGCATATATTTCCCCAAAAAAATAATCAAGCTCTATTTACATATAATTTGATTTCGATTAGCCCAGATTTTTGCCAGTTTTGTGTGCAGTTTTTTCTTATGGTTTTTTTGATGGGCGGTAAATATATAAAAAACAAAAAAAAAATGACAAATTGTAGTGCAAGTTCCTTAGACGTGGTCGGTGTAATGCATGCAATTTTTTCGTCGAATAGTTGTTATTGTAATTGCAAGTAGCATTAGCGTAGTCTGAATAATATTTGGGCACCAATATACACACGAGACATGCATACAAAGAAGCCAGATCAAGTTGCAAATAATCAAAAAGTAAGAGAAATTAATATATAAAAAGAAAAAACCAAACGTATTTGTAACTATCTATTATATATACTATACTATATGGCATATAGAGAAACTTATCGAATCGAATCAAATCAAATCATATTTAAACGTTTTATATATATGTATACAACTCTAGAGAATTGCTTCAGCTCCAAAATGTGACTAAGCTTTAACAACTTTTGAAATACACAAACAACAAACACAAGAGACATGAAACATGAAACATGAAGCATGAAACATTTAATATTTTATATTTTGTATTTGACATAGAACTAGAATAACTATTTCGTCTAATATTTTAAAAGTGGAACAACAGTTTTGAGTTGTTTTCGAATCGAATGCACTGATTATATTTTTCGTATTGTGGTATAATTATTATGTATGTACACACTGGTCTATTTTTGTACGTATTCCATTTGAGTTGACAAAATGTACGATATGAAGCGTATATATATATCTATATATATTATGTAAATACATATTTGTATGTTGTAATTTTTGATATGATTAAATAGATCTTTTTTACCACATATTAAACATGGGAATATTTACACACTACAATTCTCACTCTTCTTCTTACTGGTCTATGGGAACCAAGTGTCTAGTCCGTTTGCGTTTGATCTAAGAACCAAAGACAAAACCCCAAACAACTCTATCCTAAGAGCTTAAATACAATACAACATATCATGCAAGGCGAATACAAAACAAAGGCCAAAACAATGGAGCACACAGGACATATTCAAGGGCTTTTCTAAGATACTTTTTAGAAGAACATACACGCTTTTACACAACAACAACGACAAGAACAACAACAACAACAAAAACAGGAACAACAACAACAACAGGAACAACACGAGAAAACTGAACAACACTTGTATATACACTTTATAGAGCGAGCTGTCTATTCAGTTATTAAAAAAGATATATTATATATATAAATATATAAAAGTTTCACCTCTTTAAATATCTCACTGTTACAAATTATCGAACTCAAAACGGATGAGAAACGAAGAGAGGAGGGAAGAGTTTGAGAGTGAGAGACAAAACGAGGGGTTCAAGTGTGGGAAAAGAGACAGTAGAAAAGAGAGAAAAAAATTGTGTGGAAAAACGAAAGAGCGAGAGAGAGAGAGAGAGAGAGAGAGAGAGAGAGAGAGAGAGAGAGAGAGAGAGAGAAAGACAGTAGAAAAGAGCGAGAAAGTCCATGGCAGAGACACAGACACAGAAAGGAGGGAGGCAGAGGAAAAGAGAAAAAAAGTATGTGTGAGAGAGAGAGTAAAAAAAAGGGAGGAAAAAAGGTGATTAGAGAGGGGGGTAGAGAGAGAGAAAGAAAGAGAGAAAGAAAGAGAGAGAGAGGCGGGGCGAGAGGAATTGGAAATCAAATTTGAATGGAGAGATAAAAAAAGATAAAACGAAAGAGAGTAATAGTGGAGTTGAGACAGAGAATTTCAGATAGCAAAAGAGAGAAAGAGAGAGAGAGAACCCGGTTATAAGATCTAGAGAAAGCAATTTTTGCTCTAGCGAAGCTAGAGAGGAAGTGTAAATCACAGCTGATCAATTGATATTATTGGCAATTCTAGGGAAGCGTTACCTTTATCTGGCGTATATAATTTTAACAAGTTTGTTGATCTTAAAAAAATATATCTATATATATATATATATATATATCTATATATATGTGGAGCATCGATAATAAGGACATTTTTTGTATGCTGCGTTGGTTATGGGGACAATTCGCTCTTTTGGGGACTGACCTTAAAATTTTTAGGACTGGAATGTCTCTTTTGGGGACTTTTCATAATTCTTCATAATTCTTAGTTCTTAGAAGAAACCTAAGGGTTAATAAAAATAACAATACCTTTTCTTAACATTATCCAACCAGCACTTTGCCTGTACCTCAAATACTATAATTTTTATATTATCTTAAAGTTGGTCCACTTTATGGCGAGAAGATTTTTCGGGAACACAGATTTTAAATGCGTTTGCTGACATCTGCATAACTATGATGTAATCTGATTAGGTTTATTTTGCATGCATTTGATCATTAAAAAAGAACAAAACACAATTCGTACGCTAGTTCTCCCATAATATATGTTTTTTACTAATATGTATATATCCTCATTTGGTCGATGTGGCAACTCTACGAAATGAAAATGAAATGAAACAAACTCCATTTAGGGTAACGTGTTTTATGGGGACTCAGTTCCCGAAATACTCTCAGTATATAACACAAAAATTGTTCGTTATAATGTACTTTATATATAAGGTAAGTTTTAGGGACAAAAACGCAACGTGTATTATAAGGACACAGGAACGATGAGATTTGGTCCAGTTCACACTTCAATTTAGTAAATAACAGTCAAATAGCTGTCCCCAAAAACATACTGATTTTATATAAATATAGAGACTCATATATAGAGGTTATGAGGACTAGGGAACAGTGAATTTCGATAAAACTCACTAAACTAAATAAATATAACGCGAAACCACATAAGACTCAGCAATATTTTATTAAATTTATACATTTTAAATTTAGTGGCAGACTGGCTTAATTGAAATTAAGAGTCAAATTTATTTTGAATGTAGTTTTGGATCACTTTAGGTTAAAGTAAAATTAATAATGTGAATTAACATAAATGACGTTATTAAATACATGCATTTAAAATGAATTTTTTTTTAATTCCAAAATTTTTTAACATAAATTAATATTAATATACGAAAAAGTATAATCCACTTATTTTAAATATGGTCAACATATTTATTATTTAATCTATTTGCGGAGTTCCTTGATTTAGCCTTGCGCTGATTATCTATCCATGTTTTTACTTGCGCCGGTGTCCTACATTTTAGATATGTAGAATTATTTATAACTGTGTTGCATTGATTAAGTGACGGCAATCCTTTAAGCGACAACAGGTCGCCAAAAGCCTGGTATATTTCTTCACGCTCTTCATTCGACCACCGGTTTCTTATCGTTTTTCCAAATGATGATCCTGTTAAATAATAGAGTTTAATACAATTTAGTGTGAAAAAGAATAACGTTTTAGTAATATAGAAAAATATTAAAAACTTTGCAGTCGGTTGCAACCGTCGCAATACTCAATCATAGACCAATAACAGATTAATACAGCCTACCAGAACAATTTATTAGGTGATATCAATTTTAAACATTCGCCACGCACCCAGTCAATCGTAGGCAAACTAATTTTTATCGATCTTCAGAGTAGTCCATCAATAGTATTCATGAAAAAGTTAGTCAAGCTCTAAGATTCTGTAAGATTTGCGATTGTGCAATTTAAAACGATTTTTAGGATTTACAACGCCCCCAGTGGTCGTCATTATATAATTGTAGCACTTTACCTATCGTGGATATATACGTGTATATATTTCAAGCCCAAAGTTTCTAACTTCAATGGGCCCGCAAAATAAGCACGATATATTTTTTCACTTTGCGAATGAGGATAAATAGGACAGACTAATCGCAATGCATGTAAGCACGTGACAAAAATATGTAGGTTGCAATTCAATACTCACTACTTGGACGCTTTCCTTTTGCATTGGATTTTTCTACAATTTCATCATCGGAAATATTAAATTCGCTTTCTGATCGCTGTTCAGAATAATCTGATTCCGAATCCTCTAAAGGATCATCTGCAAAATACATTTTAAGTATAATGTAAAAACATTGACAATAGGGCTTATTGGATAAGTAATTATTAGATAAGTTAAAATATTATATTCTACACAATAACTACACTTAGTATCACTCACAACCTTGATGAATATATTTACTCACTTTCTTTTAACTGATCAAGGGCTACTGTGTTTTCATCCTCAACATTATTTCCAAGAGCTGCCATAAGCATCTGGGATACTTCGGCAATCTCCGCTACTGTTACAGGGATTCTGTAGATTTCTTTGTGTATATCTTTATGATGACCCATAAAATTGGCAAGCCTATCAATTTGGACATCTTCGACGTTAAGCATCGATGTATAGGTAGCTAAATGCTTTCGAAGCATCGTTCCCCTTAAG